TCCCGGGAGCTGCAGGCATGGGGTGAGCTTTCAAAAAAGTCTCTTCCAGCCTCTCCCATCCCTTCTTGTCATGAGGAACCCAACCTCGCTCCTGCCTCCCGGCGCTGCACCCGGCGTGGTTGCTTTTCCTTGTTATTTATGGAGCCTGCCATCTGGCCCTCATTTATTACCCGTTTACAACAGTTTGTGTAAAAACCTCGGCCAGGCTGGATGGTGCTTCCCCTCCCCGCTCCGCCAGCCTGCCCCTCGCCAGGCTGGTGCCCTCCATCCCCATGGGCTTGCTGAACCCTGCCTGTACCTCCTGCCTGCCCCGGGGGTGTGAGGGGAAGCGGGCGGAGGAGAAACGCAAGAACTGGGCACGGAAAAACCTAATGAGGTGAAGAAATAAGGCTCGAAGGGAAGGAGAGGAGGGGTTAGGAGGGGAGAGCATGTTGTCCTGCTCATCTGCTGGTCTCCAAGCGTGGAGCAGAGCAGCGAGGAGCCGTGGCCGTGCTGGAAGGACAGGTCTGATTATCCTCGCAGGGGCACAAAGCCAGAGAAGCATCTTGGCTGGTGTCACCACGTCAATTAGCGGCAGAGGCTGGGAGAAAATTTGGGAGAAGCCTGAATCCAGGATAGACCCCTCTGGCCCCCGGGGTGAAGGGGAAAGAGAAGGAAAGGGGGCAAGGCGTGAGGGAGATGGGGGAAGGAGGAGGCTTTGGGGGGAAGGCGGCTGCTGAGCGGGAGCCTGGGGAGCAGTGCGGAGCTCCGGGCGAGCGCTGCGCACGGGGGAGGCTCGCAGCCCCGTGAGTCACTGACGAGCAATGTGTTGTGCAGCTTCGTGTTTGTTTAGAGCGATGCAGGACTGGACCACATCCATCTCAGGAGTCTCTGGTTGGGGAGAGGGGGACAGAGCTCCAAGCTCCTCCTAGCAAAACACAGAAGAGGCGATCTGTGCCCTAATACCACTCCTCCCCCCCAGCACCTCCTGCATTGCTTCTCCTGCAGCCTGACAGCCGCCGTACACTGTCCTCTCCCACAGGAACAACCCCAAGACCTGGGGCCACCTTTGCCTTTCAGCTGGGAGTCAGCAGCAGCCCCACAAGCTTTCCCCGCACACGCTGGGATTCACGCGTGGGGTAAACCCCTTTGCAGGATGGGGAAGGGCGTGGAGGGTGAGTTTGTGCCCAGTCTAAAGCCAAGGCTCCGTGTTTCAGAGTCCCGCCGTCGGACCATCTACGAATATCATCGCGTGGAGCTGGACACCAGCAAGATCACCAACATGTCAGCCGTGGAGTTCACCCCGCTGCCCAGTAAGTCGGACAAGCTGGCGTGGTGCCCCGGAGCGCGTTTCCCTCCCGTGGTTTCACCCAGCAACTACAACAGCCTCCTATTTACAGCCAAAGGGGGAAGCCAAGGCCGGAGGAGGCGGGGTCCGTGTATGTCGGAAGGGGCTATGCCTGCCATCCGTCACCCGGCGGCTGGGATCCTACTGCGCGCTGGAGCCGTGGAGGGAGGGTGTGCTATCGGCCAGGGCACAGCTCGCCCCTGCCCCGGGGTCCCCCAGTCATTCTGCCTTTGTAAGAAGGTCTGTGCGTGGCTGTCGCTGAACGTCTCGTACGTACAGCCCTGTCTGGATTTATCAGCTCAGAGTCAACCTCAGCCAACAGCAAATCCCACATGCGTGCCAGCCTGGCTGCTCCATAGCTGAGACGGGAGCCTGGGATGCAGCAAAGCTCAGCTGGCATGGGAGAAGCTGATAAAGGAGGGGTCTGCAGGCAATTACACCTTACCTGATTTGCTCGGCACTCCCCAGCTAAGTGATGAGGGCGGTGGTGCCGGCCACGATGTCCCTGGGAGCGATGTGCTACAGTCCCAAGCTGCGCTCCGTGCTGCTCTGCCAGCACTTTCCTTGTGCGCAGCTGAGTCGATGGCTCTTGCTGCTCACCAGTAGATCCCCTCTCGCCCCGGTACTTTGACTCCTTGTTTCCTGCACTGACAGCCCTTCTCACCCGTCCAGCTGCTGAAACTCCTCTTTGCTCCATAAGCTGCAGCTAATTGTGCTGGACACTGGTTCACTTCAGGTCTGTCTACAAGACATTTTCTACGCCTCCACACTCGGATGAAATTTCTTAAGGATCCTGTTAAATAGATACATTTTTAGTGTTCGGATCCAAGGACACATGCACACAAGGGAAAGTTGTCATGCAGTCCGTAAATACAGAGCGGAGAGTAAATCTGTCACAAAGATACCAAGGTTATGCATTTAAACAGTCTCCCCAGGGTATTTAATGACAATTTTAACAGCAGGCAGGGTTACTGCAAAGCAGATCATAAATAAGCATTCTGCAATAATTTTTTTTCTCCTTAAGACTTGCTATTTTGTTTTTCCCCAGCAGCTAGGATAGCTGCTGGCAATATCTTCAGAGGAGCCACAGGGCTAGAGAGAGCTAGACTCCACTTCTTCTTCTGGGGGTTTAATTTTTAGCCTTATTCAGGTCAGAAGTGGATGAACTGGGTTAGCCTCTGCCTCTTCTCCAGAGGTCCTTGCTTGCTCGCAAGACCTCCACGTGGCAGTCTGCTCGGGAGAAGCTCAGGACGGGAGAGTGGAGGAGGTGAGGACTGGAGGACACCAGAAAAGTGTGGGCAGCCCAGGTCTGGGTAGCAGCAGTGGTGAGTTTGCTCAAGTGTGAGGGGCAGACCGGGGAGCCCATGGATGGAGAAGTGATGGAGTGTCTGGGTCAGGATGGGGGGGTGCCAGGCGTCCCCGGTGGGATGGGGATGCTGCTGCCTTTCAGGACCCTGTGCAGGATGCGAACCTCTGGTGTTCTGCCTTCATCACTTGGTATTTCACAGCACCCGATCAGCTCTCGGCTCTGTCATTGCGGGCTGTCAGGGACTCCCGAGGGACTTGTTAAAACTGCTGGTTTCCTTGACTTTTTTTGCCGGCAAGCCCTCTTGGCCATCTTTTCTAGACAGGGTGACAAACAAATGATGGTACTCTACAAGCAGCTAGTCCTCTCCAGTGTGAGATATTCTTGCAGAACTACTTAGTATGGACATAGCAACAGAGGATTAAACTGTTTGTATTGCTTCCTTCCTTCTGAGAAACACCTTCTGTACAATGAGAAATGGCATAAGTCTCAGATGTGTTTTAATTCCCAGATAAACAGAATGGGAAGACATTTACAGATGGACTGAGAGTCCACTGATGCTAGAAAGGTGCTGCCTTGTCCTGCAGGTCCATTGCAGAGAGAGGCTGGGGTAGAGACTCATCTGTTGATGCTGGTTCGACCCATGCCACCAGCTTTCAGCACACGCTCCCTCGTGCCCGTGCAGATGCTGGCGTATCGCATCTCCTCTCTCTTTTACAGCTTGTCTCCAGCATCAGAGCTGTGAAATGTGTGTGACCTCGGAGCTGACCTTCAACTGCAGCTGGTGTCACGTCCTGCAGAGGTAGCTGGGATGAGTTTCCTTCCCACCTCTTCTCTTGCTAATGTTTCTATAGCCGGGAGAGCAAGTGCAGCTCCAGGTCTGATGCCTGTATCAGTGTTGCTGCTCTTTTATTATTAGTTTCCTTTTTTTGTTGGGTGGGGGTTTTTTTGTTGTTGTTGCTTTTTGGTTTAGGGGTGCTGCTCTCATAGTCTCATAGCCATGGTTAAGAGGTGATCTGATCTCCGGTTACAAGCCGTCGAAGGGAGACATTTCCCGAGGCTGGGGTTCCTGGTCCTAATGTTTTGCTGCAGCAGCTGGAACAAGTTGAGACCAGAAGCAAGACTCACATTTTTGTCAGTGAGATTAAACGTGGGGGAAACTTGTCCTGACTTGGGCTGTGATTTCAGACAGAAGTGCAGGGCAGGGAGGCTGGGACACGCTCAAGTCTGAAGGACAGCAGGTAGGTCACAGACCCGGGGACGCTCATCAGCCCCCCAGCTGCGGGTGACAGGCCCTCTTTGTCGGGGATGAGACACAATGAGGGTAGGGGGGCACTTGCTGCTTTTCGGGGGGGTAGACGGAGGATCTGGGGGGACGGGGCTGGCCCCCCTGCAGTCCCAGCCATGCAGCAGTTCTGCTCCATGTTTTTCAGCTCAAGCAGTGCGATACGGAGCATGAGCGACTTTAATGAGATTTTGCTGAAATATTTATTTAGCGCTAGTGGCAGGGGAGAGGACCCAGTAACACAGATCCTCACAGGCGGCACGGGGACAGCCGCGCTTGGGAAATGCCTGGCTCTCCCAGGAAGGCACGCGGGCTGGCCCCCTTCCCCAGCCGCCTCCTGCAAGGGCAGCCTTGGCTCTCCCCGGCATCGCTCACAGGGCACCTTCACTCCTCCTTTCTGTAGCCCTTCTCTCGCTACGCTCAAGACTTGCACCCTTTCCTTGCACGCAGCAATTTCAGCAAGGTACGAGCAGGGCAGCTGGGACAGGGAAAGATGCTGAGACATCAGCAAAGCGACCCTATAAATCGGCGTTGATTCACTGCCTTTCAGTGGGCTGGAATACAACCTGAGCCAGGGGAACATCATTTTTCAATGACAGTTGCTCGGCGGTGGCTTCTGATCAGAGAATATTATGTTCTCGCAGCTGAGAGATGTGTGAAACCAGATGTGGCTTTGATAGCAAAACCAAGCCCGGGATACAGTGGCTTAGCCTGGATCTTGTTTGGGCTGAAATCCCAGCGTTCAAGGACTTCATCATTCTGTTTTATTTAAAATTCACAGCGTTTGCAAACCCAAAATCCAAAAGTCGCTGTTGCTGATGTTTGCTCTTATCACTTATAGTACGGTGACTTCTTGATGTGTTGGCTAAAAGCCATGCTCCCTGCAGCCCTAACTGCGTATCGGCAGCTCGGTCCTGAAGAGCTTAGGTTACAAAAGGAAAGTACAAGGGGCAAGCGTGGCGGAAACTGCAGGTTAGAGCAAGCCTACTGCTATCTTGTTGGCTTTCAACCAGTTGGCTTTGCAAAGCCAACGTGATCTTTCCCAAGGAAGCTGGTAGGGTGGCTTCCAGGGTTTGAACTTATATCCTGAGTCCAGCTCAGCGATTTAACCCCAGAGTCCTCTTAGCTCTCTTCTGGACAGCGGAGTTTGTGTTTTTGCTTTTGCTGAGCCCGTAATCGTTACAGGAACTGTACTTCTTTAAGCAAAGATCTCAGTGACTCAACGGGACCTGAAGTTTTGTGGCTTCTCCTCTCTTAGTGGTTGGTAGTTGGCTAAATTAGTGCTTGTATGAGCTGAACCCCTGATTCATCTTTTGGTAGTCCCCAGAGACTTTTCCAAAGGTCAGAGTGCTATTTCATTCCCTCTGTTTCTGTAGAGATTTCTCTAGCTGGTGTTTTCCTGATGCCGTTTGTAATTTCTTTAATGTGTTTTTCCTGTGCAGATGTTGCTGGAAAAAAAAAAAACCCTCGTGGAGATCATGGCCTTGCCCTGGCACAGAGTCCAGGGAATGGAAATTCAGACTCAGTCTATATATTTTTTCCTATTTCTCTGCTTCTCTGTTTCCCTTGGAGAAGCGGTGTTGACCCTTTTCCTCTCTGAAGAGGAACATTTGGGTCCTTCCAGCACAGCTGTACTGGAAACCCCATGTCTTTGGAGACCAACTTGTACGTAATCTTCCCAGTCCTCAGATATTTGTTTGTCCAAGTGTCTGTACACAGCGCCCATCGGGGCAGCATTTGGGACTCTTAGGCAGCTTAGAAATCATTAGCAATGCCACTTGCGTAGAGCGGGCAAATGAGCATTATCGTTGCTGTGTCTCTCAGGAATTCCTCTGCCACAGGCTAATACTGCTTTTCTCCGCAGGTGTTCCAGCGGCTTTGACCGATACCGTGAGGAGTGGCTATCCTACGGCTGCGGCCAGAAGGTGAGACCGAGAGGGGAGTCACTTCTCTTAGGTCCTCTGCTAGGAATGATGCTGAACTACAGAAAAAACAGTGGCCATATCCCAGTTCAAAAAATTCACTCTCAGCTCCACTTGGCCCATGCTGTTCTGGAACAGACTGAATATCCCTTTAGATATCCCTTTTCCATTACAGCAGGACCGCTGATCCACTTAATAGAGGGTGTCTCTATTGGAATAGTTAAAAGATGGTCCATCTAATCCAGCGTTACCCGTCTTTGCCTTGCTGGTGTCTTGTTTCTGTGCTGGTCGGTGCTGGATGTTCAGTAAAGATGCAGAGACCTCCATAAATTACCAAGTGGTGCCATTTGAGTACACTGGGATATTTTTTTTCTTAACTTTCTGAAGCATGACACTTACTCACTCTCAAGCATGAAGAAATTAGCCCTTGTGATTTTTTTTTGTCCTTGTTAGCACAATTATCTCCACATTGGATGAACTAGTTTCTTTGTCTCAGAAAGATCAGCTCTAATGAAACATCTGTTTCTGCTTTGGGTTTTTTTGTTGGGTTTTTTTTCCCCCCGCTGAAAACTCAGCTTTGTTCCCTGTTAACCAAGAGGGTTGAGTGAGGGAAAAGGAGGTCACAGGACCTATATAAGGTCATTCAGTGATGCAAGGAGGTCAGACTGTAGGACCTTGCCAGATCATTGTCATTTGTCCTGCTTAAGTGATTCCCAAACTTTTCCTCCTCCAACCTCCATGTCACACACACCCCCCCATACTTCTCCTGGCGCTTCTGGACCATGTCCCCTGCTTCCACTCCAGTGTTTGAACCCCAGGGGCTCGGCAGCCCTAAGCCTGGGAAACACAGTCCTCACCACTGGCTCCCTGGCACTCTTGCTGGAAGAGAGCTAGGAAAAGTAGCTGTTCTTCATTTTCTTTCCAGTCAGATGAGAAGACCTGCGAGGATTTAGAAGGCGACCACTATTCAGCATCTCCTGACAGCTCTTTCTCACCGCTGGATGAGGATGCCACCACCTCCACGTCCTCGCTCTTCATTGACGGTCTCACTACAGAAGGTAGGGGCAGGTGGGGTGAGCAGCTGTGGCAGGGACACCCCATCCTCAATGGTTATCCCTGGAGAGGCCTTTCACTCCGATGCCTCATAAAGCCAATTCATGTCCAAGTAAATAAAATATCAAACCCGTCTTTGAAGCACAAGGGCAGGGGTGAGTACAGGAGGCAGTGGAAAGGAGAAGGAAGGGCAGCCTAAGGGGTGAGACTCGGAGTGGTGTGGTAAGGGGAGAGATGAAACCCTCCGGTGGGAAGAGTTTTACAGTTGCATCGCAGCCTTTTTACGTGTTTGTGAAGGTCAACAAGCAACTAGTCCCTGGTGGACAGACTCCCCAGCTTCATAACAGCGGTTAATGCTATATATAGGGGCTCATGCTTTTAATGTGCTTGGTCCTAGCTGGTGGCTCAGGGCTGCCAGTGCTCTCAGACTGGCAATAATACAGCGTAGGCTTGTGATTGCCCTCTGCTTGGGAATGGGGTTCGTTCCAGCATAGGAAAGCTCCACATAAGGACCTGAGTTTCCCTCGAGACACCCATGTTCTAAAGCTTGATAATCCTATTAACGCAGGGCTGGCTCCTCAGATCCTAGCGGCAGGTATCACTTCAATTTTGCTGCTTAATAGTCCCTAACGCAAACTGCTAATTAGAATAAATAGAAAGGAACGTTAGTAATTGTCCTTCAGCAATGGGAAGGAGTTGGGGGGAGGAACGGAGCGCCTGGCTGACAGAGTTGACTTTGAAAGGAGCAATTAAAGGAAGGGGGAGTGTAGCACCACCACTGAGATTATTTTCCAACTCATCGCCAGTTCTTGGGAAAAGAACAAGAGGCTTTCTGTGACATAGTCAAGCATGAAGTTAATTTGTAATCTTGGAAGGAAACAAACAGCCAGCTGCATCAAGCAGCGAACTTTATCTGGAGAAGCACAGCAAAGGAACAAGCAAAGGAAAGGAGTGGACCCACCCGTCCGCATCCTCCCCAGCCAGCCCAGCTCGCTGGCTCTGCTCCTGGAGATGTTTGTGAACGTGTCTGACTCTCTGGTCGCATGTCAGCACTGCAGCTAGCAAACGCGTAAGCCGAGGATCAGGATTTCAGCTGGACTCGCGAGGGTGGCGATGTGGAAACCATCAAGACGTAAAGCTGGGTACAATATAGCCTGGTTCTTCCAGAATGAGGTGAAGAATGGAATTGGATTTGGGGCCCCCATGGAAGATATCCATAGCGTAACATCCCATTGATTTATTTGGGATGTATTAGCAGCGTATTGCTGCACGTGCCGTAGTCTGAACACAGACACCCACAGGGGCTGGGGCCCCATCCAGCATTCACTTATTGTTCTGCTTTGCACATTGAGCATATTTAAACACTGGTTTCCTCAGATGTTTGTGCTCCAGGTGCCACCTTTGTGAAGGAAGACAACAAACCATAACCCACATGCTTTCACTATTGTTGTTTTCTGGGTGCCTTCCTCTTCCACCAAACTCAGAGGTTTAAAACTGTCACTGGCCACAGAAATGCTGTGCAAGGGGTGTGTTCTGTCAGTGGCCCCATCGCAGAGGGATGAAAGCGGGTGGGAAGCATGCAGAATACCGTAGAAGGCTCCTAACTTTTTTTTTTTTTTGCCTTTGTTTTCTTCTTTTAGATGATACGAAGCTCAATCAGTATGCAGGAAGTGAAGGTAAGCCCTTAATCTTCTCTCTGCCGGCTCACGGTCGTTCCAAGTGAAAACATGTTACGCTGAAATCAAATGCACTGGGGAGCTGCGATCAGTCAGCGGGGTGGACAGGTGAAGCTGAGATTGGAGGGATGTAATCAAGATAAGACTCCTATTGTCCTTACCCTGACTAATACCATTTCAGGTAGTGAAAAGTGAGAGTCAGGACCGAACTGTTCTACCCTGATGCTGTTTGTCTACTTTTCCCACTTAGTCCTGCTGTGCAAACTAAGACGATGAGTTTTCTCTTTCCATGTAATTCCCTTTCTTTGCAGTTTTTGCATAGATATAAAGTCCTTTTTTTTTTCTTTTGAATTTCCCCAGCTGTGCCAAACAGCAGTGGAAAATCCAAAGTTGAAAAGTGTCTTTAGTCCAGCTCTGCCTTTTTCATCTCTCTTCCCGTGAACCCTTTCTCAGTCTGAGTTTGTTCGGCAGCCCCAAGGGCAGGGAACCGAACTGTTGCTGCTCTTACTAATTTCAGAGTATGGGAAGGATCCGAGCCCTCTTCACCTGATGTCAGGTTTGCAAGAACTGCGGTCTTATGCAAACTACAAGCCTGTCCCTCTTACCTGAGAGCAGCTCAGGGAAGTTAAGCTGGCTAAACTGGGTGCAGGATCAGTTCCTTTGCAGGCATGGGGCCTTTGAAATGCATGATCTTCCCAGTTTCAGCCAAATTGCTCCCCAAATGGCTGGTAATGTCACTGTTAATATGTGCCACATACACCCTCTGTAGTTCCGTGCAATTGCATATTCATAGCCGAGGACGGAGGGCAAGCTGCAGGGCTGTGAGTAAGACACACTGAGGACCCCGCTCAGCATATGGCTAATGGCTTTCTATCAGAGTGAGCAGCCAATATATAAAGAATATGGATTGGAGGGGGGGTTTACTTGCGTGGTGGTGGTTTAATCTTCTTTCAAAGCAGCTACTGCTATCATCCAAAAGGAATGCTGGAGCTCAGACAACCCTCTGGTGCATCTTTCTCTCTTGTTGAGCCTGACAGTAGCAGGCTAAGTTGCTCAGTCGTACGTGCAGAGCTCTGGAAGGTCCTGCCTTGCTTTGCTTTTCTGTCCTTTCTTTTACCGAGGTCTCAGCACAGTTCAAGACTCAGCTGAATCCTTTTTTGCAGGTGTGGGAAGCAGCCTTCCTTCCAAGAAAGCAGGCGCCCCGATTCACACAGGTACTATCGTGGGGATCGTTCTGGCTGTGTTGCTCATTGCAGCTATTATCCTTGCTGGAATTTACATCAACAGCCACCCCACCTCCAACGCTGCCCTGTTCTTCATTGAGGTGAGTGGAGAACCTTATCCCTGGCCGGTTTTCCCTTCCTCTGCTATCAACACAAATCCTAACCTTCTAGAGGAGAGCAGGGAGCAAAGAGAAGAGGAGAGAGGAACTTTGATAGAGTTCATATCTGAGTTTCTTTTCATGGTCCTACAGTCACAGCTAATCTCCCAACCTCCAGTTGACGATGTTTTAAACTTAGGCTCTCTCCCTCCCACACTGTTTTATTTTGCTCCCTTTCACACGTTGCCTTTTTTTCCCCATGCAACGTTAGACTCTTCCACCTGCTTGCATGAGCAGTCGACACGCAGCCTGGTTGGAGGGCTCAGTTGGAGTTATGACATAATTGAGATTGCTGCCTTTTGAAGTGCCCAGCTGGATTTTGTTGACTAAAAATTGTCAGACTTTACTGATAGATGTCATGCCATCAGCTACTGAGTAAGCTAGTGTGAATGCTCTAAAAGGAAGATTTTAATTCTTGGAAAGATAGGGGGTCCAACAATCTCCATCTGCTGTTAAAAGCCAGAAGACCGCTTGGTGTAGGATCCCGAGGCAGTGAGAAGTGGGCTGAATCCTGGCACAGGAGCTGCTGCGGAGGGAGTGAGCAACATTTAGCCCTCAGCCTTTCCTTATCACTCGCTGGCTTTTTCCTAGCACGCTCGTCTTTCCTCCATCTGTCCTGTTTGCAGAGACAGGCTTCAGAGAATTGACCTACGTGGCCTCTACCAGTTTAGTACCTGAGCACTTGGCAATGTTTGATCTGTTTAGCTACACCCGGCTGAGAAGGGGCAATGCGGTTGTCCCTGTTTTGCAGACAGAGAGGAGACACAGGGCTGACGTGCATGTGGTCGCACGGGAAGCCCGTGGCCGTCCTCGGCTGTACAGGCCACCCTTGTTCTAAGGCTGATGTGAGATTTCACTTAAAATTGCCATTTCCTCCCCGCTCCCCTTTTTAACCTTGTTAGTGGGTCAGCTCAGTGAGATCGATGCATTGTAATGAATTCTTTTAGGCATGAAGCGATTTTTTAAAATTTATTTTTGTTAATAAAAAGTCAAACTTTCACAAAGACAGCATTGTTTTTGTTTCAGGACCGAGTTTCCGTTTTCCCTGCGGGCCTGGCGTGAAAGGCTCTGTCATAGCTTCTGATGGGTCTTTGTTTCTGTCCACAGCGAAGGCCACATCACTGGCCTGCCATGAAATTCCGAAATCACACCAACCATGCAACATACTCAGAGGTGGAGCCGGCCAGCCAGGAGAAGGAGGGCTTTGTCGAAGCAGAACAGTGCTGAGTGCTTCCTCCCCCTGCATCTCGAACCTCCCATGTCTCAAGTGTTGGAGTCTTCTGTTATTCTATTGCAAAGTCTTTCCCCTCTTGGAAAAGAAACAGCAAGTAGAGGAAAAAGACCCAATGGAGCATTTGAAAAGAATGAGTCAGGGCGCTGTGAGGCTGGGACTTGCCTGGATTTCCTCACGGGACAGCAGGGCCTGTAGCGTCAGCAGTCAGTTGCGACATTGGACTTTGCCTGCAGCCCGGCACCGAAGCCCTGGATGTGGCGGTAGAAAAAAGTGCAGTCAAAGTTTTCGCTTGGCGTGGGTTTTTTGTTTCGTGGTGGGGTTTTTCCCCCTCTGTGTGTGGCTGACCTCTTCCCTCCTCCACCAGGAGGCTTAACAGGGGCAGCAAAGGGGGGGCAAGTCTTGGTACAGGCAAAATACGTCATTGCCTCAAGCAGCAGGATCTTGGGGACAGCAAAACAGTTGATTTTTGCTGCACACTGGCTCTGCCCGCTCTCAGGAAAGTCGGGCTGGTTGCCTCTTCCCCTCTCCAGGGAGAGGCTGGGTGGTTGGGGGTAGGTGCTGTTGGTGGCCCAGGAGAGGTAAGGTTGGCTCTCCAGGGCTCACCTCCCCTCTTCCCCTTGCCTCTCCCCCAGCTCTGTCCCTTTCTCCGCTCTCCCCTTCGCCTTCTTTTGGGGTGGGCAACATTTAATTTTGCCTTCGTGGCCGAGAAGCCTTGTCCCTTTGTCTCTTCATCCTGCAGTTGGTCTTCCACCACCATGGCTTCAACTCCCTGCCCTCCTCTCCCTTCAAAGCAACAGCTTCTGCCCCCTGCTCCAGAGAAAGGGAAACCTGATCTATTTTAAGGGCAGAACCCTGTGGAGGATTCACCTTCAGGATGTTTGTGAGCCAATGGCTCTGATGCACATTTTGGCATCTAATTAGTTTGCTAAATTACTAACTATGACCCTTACCCCAAAGGAGACAGAGTGTGAAAAAAAATCTTAGGTTCCTTCAGAATACATCCTTGTGGCGCGGCCACTAATCCAGCGGGAACAGAGTAGGTTCTGATGGAAGAGGATGGGGACAGAGCACTAGCAACAGCAGTGTCCTCCCACGGGCTAAATCCTGACGTAAATCCAAGCTCACTCACGGGCATTTCACATAAATAAGGAGTGAAGGCGTACATGCCTTGATACCATTGAAAATCTAAAAATCACCTTTTTAACATCATAGTTTTTAGAGCCTACTCAAGTCAGTGGAATTTTTTCTGTTTTTTTATTTTATTATGTCTGTGATAGGCCCCTGGTCTGGATTTGTACGTCTATCGTGATTCCAGAATCTGACCCCAACTAAGGGCTTCGACACTAGACCTCTCAGGGTTTTCTACTCCTTCTGTGCGATCAGAATTCAAGACTAATCTGCAGAAATACTCTACCTTACTTCCACAGACACCAGCTGCAGGATTAGGCCCTAAACTGAGGGAAGCTTGTGTAAAAAAAAGAGAGAGTCCAAAGTCCAGTGTAAGGTAAAGTTTCTCTCCCCCACCAAAAAACATGGTGATTGTATGGGGCTTTTTTTCGTTCGGGTTTTTTTTTTTTTTTTTCCATTTTCTCTTGCTCCTCAGTTATTTATTCTGATAATCATGTTTGGTGCATATTTTATCCACTGGCTGGTTCAGCTGTCACTGGTGGTGATTACTGCCAAAGGCAGGGTCTGTCTAATTAATGTTTTCCTTCTCATCTGCTGAATTTATATAGCCATTAAAGATAAATATGGATGCTTTGTGGCATTTAGACCCCAGATTATACTTTCTCATACATAGCCACTAGGGAGACTTTTGCTGCATCTTATTATGGCATAAAGGCACCAAAATGCTCAAACAGGGTAAGTCAGACTGAGTCGTGCCAAGTTGTTACGGCTCAGACAGTCTCTCTTTAGACATATTTTGAAGATAAACTTTATGCCCAAATAAAGCTTTCAACTGGAAGGTTGTTTTTTCCCCTGTTTCCCTGAAGTAGAAAGAATTCAAAGGGATGCTGTCATCCAGTTTTTGCCCAGGATCTGATCTCCTTTGAAGTGGTTATGAGCTGGTAAGGAATTTTCTCTGGATTTAACTCTTTTCAAATAATGGCCTTGTTTTTACTGTTTTTCTTAATAACAGCAAGATTTGGGGTACTCCTCTTCCCCTACAACCCCTAGAAATGCTAGGTAACATCCAAGAGTTCTGAAATGCTGCAAATTTAAAAGAAAACAGACTTCAAATAGAGCGCAGCTGAGCTGTATAAATCACTGGTGCATTACTGTAGCCAGGCTCTTAGAAGGATTCAGAAGAGGATCAGATACTCGGGTGGAGAATAACAACATCCAAGTGCCATAGCACAGAAACAGTTGGGATATGTAAAACACCTATACTTCAGGGCAGATGCCAAGTGCTGAGTGTCTGGAGTCAAAAAAGGCTTTGGGGTTTGGGGTTTTTTTTCCCCTTTAAGGAAAGGGGAAAAACAGACCAGGCTATTCTGTATTCTGTAGCTGTGCAACAGATGTTTGGTCTACCTTCTACCGAGGAATATGGTTTGGGGTATTGTCAGGTAGAGAGTTAACAGCTCCAGTTCATCATCTCTAAGACCTTGTGGTAGAGTAGATGGAGAAGTTACTGCCCATAGTCATGTGTGTGCTCTGAGCTGAAGGTTTGGATTCAGCCAGCATCTCCCACTGCCTCGCCTGGAGAAGCAAGGCACTTACACGCTGTGTCTCAAGGAGGAGAAAAAAAATATTCTGTCCTACCTTTTGACACGAGGTCTAGCTCTGGGCACTTGAAGCTCACATCTGGGAAGCTCGTGAGTCAGCAGGGAGCAATCTTTTCTGAATATTTTTTGCACGTGGCTTTGGAGTGGAAGAGGTTGTCTATTAAATTCTGGAAAACCCAACGGTAATGTTGCTGATGCCTAGGAGAAAGAGAAAAATGTCTTTACCACCACCAAGTACCGCTCTAATGTTGAAGAGAATAGGAGAGTCTGGTGCAAGTATAATGCTGGCTGCACCAAACGCATCAGGATCAATACTCCTTTCTTACCTGTGTAACTCTGACTTCAAGATGCCGGTTATCTTGCTAGTCTCGAGTGCCAAAGCAAGAACATGATGATGGCAACTATGACATCAAAAGGTTTTGATTTTGCTTTTAATCGTGTGGCTTTTCTAGCCACATCATGAGTTTTCCTCTGGATTCTGATGAACCCAGCGTTTGGGCTTGCTTCAAAGCAGACTGCATAATGTACATGTGTATATCGACCTGTATATTTTATAGCTATAAAACGGGCTGGGGCTGTTAGCTGTGCTCAGTCCATCGCTCAGCTGGTTAAAAGAGGGTGCAAAACCACAAAGAACTGCTGCTGCTCCTCATCTGTCTTTCCAAGCACCGTGCCCTGGCAGTTTGTGGCAACTGCTGAGCGTGTCATTCGGGAGTAAGGCAGCTGCCTGTCATCAGGCAGAAAAATCACATCACGTATCTGCTCCTTGGCCACTCATCTGCGTTCAGCAGTTGGGAAAACACAGCACAGGGTTTCTCAGAGACCAGCGTGAGGTTGGTTCTGCTCCTACAAAAGTTGGGGGCTAACGCCCCCATTTTTGACATCAAGGACCCAAATCAAAAAATATTCTCTTAATAACTAAAGGCCTACTTTCCACATACTTGAATTTACAGCACAGTTGGACTATTTTGAGGGACTAAAGGCACTTTAACTGTCTTTTAATGCAATGTATTTACTATGGATTATCTGCATGGAATACAGTCTTAGTATTAAAAAAAAAATAATCTTCCTTTTGGAATGCTTTGTTTTCAAAATAAAACATGCAAAGGATTATTGGTCATGTTATGTGAACTTCTAAGCAGGATGGGAATTATTTTCATCTTGTATTCTTTTAATTTACGCTATAAGAATACAAGGATTTTTTTAAGACATCCTTTTCTGTCTTAGTAATAACACATCATTATCAGGAGGTGTTCCCAGGACACACCTAGGATAAAAACTAATGTAATTGAGGTTTGAATCAAGACTATAATTTTCTTCTAATTTTATTCTGCTCAGCTTACTTAAATTTTTTTTTGCGGGCTTCTCAGCTTGACCAATGAAGTTTGCTTGGCCCATTTGACTTTTTGACAGTAGTCGGGTTTAGTGTTTTGATCTCTGCACTAGCACCACAGTATTTCAAAAATGTAGATCACTTTAAAGGTCATTATCTGAGACCTCAGGGTAGCACCTCCACGTTTAGGCTTCCTTTGCTATTGTACATTAAAAGTATGAACAAATCGGCAGGATGCAGTAACTGAAAGATGATGAACTGTAGGAAAAGGCCCACCTTGCAATTAACTATGGATATCAAGAGATTAATTCCCGTGGGAGCTTTGATAGCACTGCTTCCATGTGTGTTACACCTTGAGTACCTGGTAAGGGCATAGCCAGAACAAGGACTTACCCGTAACCCTTTCCACGCACTTACCTTGCAAACTGCTGTGCCACATAGAAATAGCCAAGCCAGCACAGAAATTGGAGCAATTCAGTCCCGCTTCACATCGCCTACGAGAGGTAAGCATGAGCCTCATTAGAGACATACCGAGGTAGAAGGGCGTTTGCAGAGGCCGGACGGAGCTGTAGTTAAGGCACTGGGTTGTGGTTCAGGAGATGCAAGTCTACGACAGTAAAAGCAGCTCCTGGTATCTCAGCCGCTCGTCTGCAATATGTGAACAATAACACCATGTTTTGCCTGTGGCTATTTAAATTGTAAACTCCCCAGCCTGGGGCCGTTTCATAGCATGTGTGTGTGCTGTTCTTGGCCTCGATTCTGCTCGAGGAGCTAAATGTGTAATTTCCTAAGCGTAACTTTGTCCCTGCTGCCCTTCTGAAGTGAATGTCACCATTTTTTGTACCTCCTTTCAGTGGCTCTGACCATGTTGCAATATTGGAAAAAGAAGTAATGTATCAGCTTCTTCTCATTTTCCCTTTCACCTTCTCAAGCCCCTCACACCCTGCTCATCCCCGTCTTCCCCAGGAGTCTCTTCCAGGTTGGGAGAAACTGTACTAACACAATACAAGCAGCTATAAATTAATTTAGACGTGATAAAAGAATTCTACTCTCCCAATGCCTTGTTCTATTTTTCTGAGCAGAGATGTAGCAGATATATAATTAGAATATACATATATTCTATTTTTATATACACACACACAAAAGCAAATACCTTATAATGTGCAAATATGCAAAATGTCAGCTCTCCTGAACAAATAGTTTTCATATTAAACAACATCCCAGAAACAGGGGGAAAAAATACTTTAGCCATTGTGCAAATAAACAAGGGTTTATACCCTGGAAATGCAACTGCAACCTCAGGTACAACAGCATGCTGAACCATAATTAATAGCACTGAAAGCAAGCAGGGAGCAGATTGCTACAAAAGGGCCTGTGGGCGGTGGAATAAAATCTCAAATAGATGCACAGCTCTGAACCCGCATTTTACAAGTGCTGTGGAATTAAGCTTTGGTTACGACTGGGAGCAGGGAATTAGGGCTCCTCAGGTCCTCGCCTGGATGTATATTAAATGTCTTTATGCCTTGGGTTGCCTCACCTAGAAAGGAAGGATGGGAATAATTTCCTTTCTCACAAACAAATTGTAAATTTGCTAACATTTGTAAGATACTTACAGATGCTCAGGGGAAAGGTGTTTTCAAGGCAGGGTGGAATTACTCGCTAAGGTGACTGCAAGCGTCATACACATGCCCATCTCAGAAGCTGTTTTTTTCATCTCTTAGGCTCACTAAAAGAATTTAGAAATCTTCTTGAGTCAGCTTTAGAGATGAGGAACGGGTGCTGCTGTAGTCAACCTGTCTGACTAGAATACGTAAAGCTCACGCTCGCCACGGCTGGGGAGTGGGGCAGCAGCGCTCGCCCAAAGTGGGGCTCATAGAAATGCTGGAACAGGTTTGGGGGAAGCCATGAAGCTGATAAAAACCCCAGCGTGTTAATTATCTTCGTGAGAAAATTTTATTAGTTTGCATAAAATACATTTCTGGCCCATGGATGTGAAAAACAGATTTTTTTGTTGTTGCATTCAGCAAAGGGAAATGTATCTTCACACACACAAACACACCGTTCCCTAGCTGTGACAGACCAGCTATTTGCCTTAGCGGCTGCTCATCCACCTCTCCTGGGAGGCTGCATCTGCCTCCCTGTCACCAGGGCTCCACGAAGAGCTAACCGCTGCCTTAAACATCTGCACAATCTGCGGACGAACCTGCTGGGTGCTTGCCAGGACGAAATTCAGCTGGCGCCTGCAGCAAGGGCTATTGGTATTTCAGGCAGGTAGTTCCACAAAGAACTTACAGCGCAACTCTTTTCTCTTCATCCCTCAATCAGACCGAACTAGAAAATCGCTAATCCAAAGGCTGTGCTAAAGTTGCAGCGACGATGCCGCCGCCGCCACCCCCCCGTAGGCAGCTGCCTGCCTCCCCAACCCCTGCAGAGGTGCTTTCCACCCCGCAGGCTGGCACGCTTCTGCCAGCCGGGTCTCAGACGGCTCGAGCGGTGTTTCTGCCACCACAAATTGCTATCTTAAGCTCCGCGCTACTCTCCCAAATGGCAGATAGGGGAAGATTAGAGGGTGGCATCCCGTAGCGTGATAATTATCAGCACAGCTCCCAAAAAGGCTCAACTAACAGGCTGGAAGCAGAAAACACCTGCACATTTCCATTCAGCTACCACGAGAGGATCTCTGCAATAACCTTCATCTCCTCCCACAATTTTCTCATTACAAAAGGATGAGGAAGAAACCTGTGAGCCCAAATCACATATTGAAAATTTTCCTTAGGCTGTTTATTTTTCTTTTCCTTTTTACACAACAAATCCTGATTGTTTAGCAAGTAGGTCAGAGCAGGCAGCAGTTTTCCTTTTTCGCAGGAAAACTGAGCTAAATTTTGTTGGTCCCCTCCGCAATTTGAACTAAAGTTATAAAAATTGACAGGTGGTTGTGTTACTTTTTTTAAAACCTGACAAAATCTTCAGCATGTGCTGGCAGAATGCATGTAAAGCCCTTTTCCTCTGCACAAAATACATAACTAATAAAATTTCAGGACTGCTATGATAAAGAAAAAAGAAAGGCCCTTTATATTTGGTTTGGTTTTTTTTTTAAGTACTGAAAAGAGCGGGTTTGCTATTCTTTTAAGAATAATAGTGGGCTTCATGCTCTGTGACAAGCCGCGTGCAAGTACCTACTGTCTTCCTGGTGCCTGCTCTTGCGGGTTATTTCAATGAGTCCGCTTTGCTGCAGAAGGATTTTTAACTCTGCCAGCCTACAGACCTACAGAATAGCAAGAAAACCCCCGGCGAGACTCTCCTAACTCCTTCACCCCTTCCCCCATCGCTAGCTGACGGAGGTGGGGATAACTCAATGCACCCGACTGTCCACAAAGAAATGAAGATCTATGATAGCTCCTGCTGTTGGCAAAGCAAGTAAGCGATGCCTGGAGGTGTCCGACAGCAAGAGAGATGCGCGAGTTTGTACGTGAATCTCCAAGAAACAGCCTGTGCCATGAGCTTTGGCACTGGGAACACGGGACTGCTCAACACGCAGCAGTGAAGGGTAAGACAGAAGCTTGAAGCAATCATCAGGTTAATTTCTTTAACATTTCTGCTATCCCTTCTTACTGCACTTCCTTGAGATTTCCATGCCTCTACTGCAGGCCAGATTCTTTCCCCCCCCAGACAGGACAGCCGCCTTGGCTTCTGCGGAGTTGCTCTGCAACTTTGAAGAGAATTTGCATCCCTACGGAAACAAGGTTTTTCATGGTGTTTCTTCAAAGGAATAATAGGGCCTACCAATATGCTCAGCCTGAGAAAACTGATAAGATCATAAAGCAGAGTGGTATTGGCTGCAATAACTTCCTATCTGTTATGAAGCTTCCCATGGCTCAAACGGGTAATTATCTCCATGTTGTGCTGACAGGTTCCCATCTGTTTAGGGCTGAATGTTGCATCTTAAAAAGAAGCAGAAAGGAATAGCACCAGTTACACTCTGACAGGTTCGCTCAGCTCTTCAGAAAACCAGAGGAACTTGATTTGAGATGCTAATGAATTCTTAGTAATCCACTTCTTTTTTTGTGCTGGTCTCTATTTCTCTGCAAAACTGGAAGATGGAGAAAATCTGAAGACAGGAAAAATATAAGGAACGTTTATAAGGAAGGAGCAGATTGGAAAACCTAGAGGCCAGATCCTCAGCTAGGATTTGGCAACTGCAGAGGAACGACTCTGATGCGAGGTAAACCTTTAATATCTGATGAAGGATGAACAACATACACAGGGCACAAACCTGTACCAACTTTGCATCCACCTCATCCACCCGCTTCCTTGCCTTGCCTCTTTCAGTCTTCCATTTTCTCCATCCAAACGTTTAGTACCATCACCTGAGGCAGGAAGCAAGAGCTAGGACTCCGGATTCCGCCTCCGGTATCTTCCAAACAACCTTGAAGAAGTCCCTCGGCTGCCCTTGCTTCAGCGTGTTTAGATAAGGCTTGCCCCCTCCACAGGGCACGTTACACAGCTCTGTGATTTCATGCACGCAACGCGTTTATAAATTCTTGGTTGAAAGGCACGGTAGAAGGACGGATTTGTCTCAGCCATGATCACTGTCCAAAATGAGAATGGAGGAGGCAAGGAGAAAATGGCAAATCCTGGCATTAAATCCGCTTCTGCCCCACATGCCTCAAACCAAGACGCGATCCTAAGATGAAGGAGGACATCTGGAAATTCTGTGTATTAGTGAAGATCCTGCC